CCACTCTGATCGATCCCCCAACTCGTCCGGCCCAACACTCAACATACCCATGCGGCCTCCCCGCCTCACCGCAAACTCCGACTAGTCCACCTACCGCCTCCCCAGCTCACCTCACCTAGGTTTAAAACGCCAATCATGCACCCGAACGGGCTGCAACCACCTCCCCACCTACCACCCGTCCCCCACTCACTCGCAACACCAGCCCCACCAAGAGATCCCAATCTTTACCCGCCTCCACACATCCCACCTAAGCCTTTCAAACGCCGCCCGGCAATCGCAACCTCGGCGATCCGCCGCCACGCCACAGAGCACCGGCGCCCGCAACCTACTCACCACCTCACATAGATACCGCCTCCCGCCCGGCAAACCACTCCTACAACTAGTCCCAACACTACGCTCCTCCCAGCCTCACCTCACCTATAGGTTTAAACGCCGCCCGCATACCTCTGACCAAATCATCACCCGACGGGCTTGCAACCTCCCACTCCCGCACCTCCCTCCTTCCCCCCACTGGTCAACCCACCCGAACAGGTCCCAATCTACCGCCTCCCAAACACATCCCACCTAGCTTTAAACGCGCCCGCATCACCTCTGATGCGATCCCCCACCCGGCCGGCCCCAACCACTCCCTTGCACACTACCGCTCCCCGCCAACCGCAAACGCCTCCACACTAGTCGCCAAACCTACCGCCTCCGCAGCCTCACCTCACCTAGGTTTAAACGCCGCCGCATCACCTCTGCCAATCATCACCCGAACGGGCTGCAAACCATCTCCCCACCTACCCCCTTCCCCCCACTGGCAAAACCCACCCGAACTAGGTCAATCTCACCGCCTCCCAAACACATCCGCACTAGCTTTAAAACGCGCGCTGCATCACTCTGGCCGATCCCACCGAGCCCTGCCCGCAACCACTCACCACCTACGCGCCTCCCCGCCACCGCAAACCCTCCACAATAAGTCCAACCTACCCCTCCAGCCTCACCTCACCTAGGTTTAAACGCCGCCGCATCACCTCTGACCACAATCAATCAGACCCGAACGGGCTGCAACCCACTCCCCACCTACCCCCTTCCCCCCCACCGTGGCAAACCCACCCGAAACGACGGTCTCAATCTACCGCGTCGCACACACATCCCACCGTAGCTTTTAAACGCCGCACACATCACCTCTGATCGATCCACACTTCGTCCGCCCGCAACCACTCACCACCTACCGCCTCCCCCCCGCAAACCCTCCACATACTAGTCCAACTACGCCCTCCCAGCCTCACCTCACCTAGGTTTTAAACGCCGCCCGCATCACCTCTGACCAATCATCCCCGAACGGGGCTGCAAACCATCCCACCTACCCCCTTCGCGCCCTCACTGGCAAACCCACCCGAACAGGTCCGCAATCTAACCGCTGCCCAAAATCCGCACCCTAGCTTTAAACGCCGCCCGCATCCCCTCTGGTACACCGCCTCGCAATCCTGCAACACCTACACCCGCCGGTCTCTCAGCATCCCCACCCGTGTCCATAATCTGCCTACAACCGCGCATCTCCGCACCACATGCCCACTCTGCATCCTCCACTTCTGGTTCTCATTCCGCATCCGCGACCTGCGTTTTCACTACTCCCTCCACCTCACCGTTTCGTTCCCTTCCAGGATCTTTCTCAAACCCCTCCCTGCCAGGCCCCCACCCTTTTCACCTCTCCGCTCCGTCCTCGCCCAGCCCGGCCACGTTGTCCTATCCAAACCACTACCCTCATCACTCCCCGCTGCCAACCACCGCTCCCGATTCTCGCTTGAGCTCTCGATGTCTCATTTCACTGTTCCTCCTACTATGGCTTCGCCCCTGCGCTCCCAATTTTGCTAAACAGCTCCACCATGTTCCAGATGTCGCATCACAGCCGACTTTCTCATACACGCATCAGCTTTCGTGTCCACCTTCTATTTGTTTGAAACTACCGCCTTCATTCTCCACCTCTGGTGTTTGGTCACAGTACTGCTTCCGTACTTGCACCAGTTGTCTACCCTTCCTTGACTACACATTCGCTGCCTTCGTAACTTTGTGATGCTTCGTCTCTAACCTCGCAATGAATGCGGCAATTTCTTGCTTCTTCTCCCCCCGTGGTGACCATGAAATTTGCCCAAAAGTATCAATTTCTAAAAATTAAGATTTTTTTAGATTGTACGTTTTATTTGTGGCTATCTTGAACATTTAACATGTTTATGGGTAGTTTATGCATTTGCAAATAGTTACGATTCTGCTTTTTCTTTGCCTCAATTTGTTTATAAGACTATTTGTACCTGCCTTGGTTAGCAAATTGTAGCACGTCGGGTTGCATTATTTCGGCCTCTGATTGATAATACTTCTTCATTACTAATCTTTCTTTGCTGTATCTAAACTACCCTATTATAACTACGACAACTAGGTTTTAGCCATCTAGCTAAATATACGTTTTGTGAATCTAAAAGTGCATCTGCTATATTTCGACATGCCTTTCTCTACGCGGTATGCCCTCCCGCGGTATGCCTAACATTGATACTAAAGGGATAAATTGTATTTTTTGTTGAATTTTTGTGGCGAATAAAACGTTCCTGAATTATGATTCTCACTCACTCGTCGTTAACAACCGATGAATTCACTCGGTATTATATTTGCTTTTCATCGTACTACTGGGGTTCTGTGAGAAAAATCAAATTGATTTTTTTTTATCTTCCTCTTTAAACTCCTTAAACTTTCCCGAAGAAATGCACTGATTTTTCTTCAATATCTCAAAAACTTTCCAGCAAACTTATTTAAATGGGTAAGTAAAGTGTAATTATTCAACAAATCCTGTGTGCTCTTCGTTCCAGGTGGAAGTGGAACCCATCAAGGCCGTACTATTTACCTTCGACTTCTTCCTCATCAGCCTTAATGTAAGAGAAGCTTGATTAAATAATTTCTCGCAAATCTAATTCTGTAATGTAGTATAGAGTTGTCTTATTAAGCTTAAGTATTTGCTCATGTACGTAATTTCACCAAACATGCTCATTTCAGTTTTTGAGGATAAATGACTTGTGATCAATCCAGTTGACACATCTCTACGTTAATTGAAATATATTTAAAGAAAATGACTACTAGAATTCGGTCCTAAAAAGATGTATAGTTCCATTTGAAAAAAAACCTCAATATATTGTAAAATACAAGTAATAAAATGAAAATGAAATTGATGAATAAACTAGCCCCATTACCTCATGTACATCTATGAAAACTGCATTGCAATAATTTGAACCGTTCAACAATTGCACGAGGTGCTGAAGTTACCTGACTCACCCTGCATAGCAACCATCACTCCTAATTTTTCTCTGTTTTGGAACCTTGGTTGTATTATACCGTTATAAGGGAACCGAGTAGGAATCGTTCTCTTTAGAGGTTTAATATATGTGATTGTCAGATATTAGATGTACGATTTAATAAAGAGAACCCAGAGTGCTGTGAGCTTTCTGCCATGAATCTGTGCTCTGTTGCAGCTGTACGCGTTGCTGTGCGTGGTGTCGCAATACCAGGAGTATCGCGCGGGACGAGGCACAGCAGCGCACCAGCGGAATTCTCCCAAGGTGAGTTCGGGACAGGACGGTGGCACTTCTTCACGGTATTTCACAAAAAAATCGGAGTTAATTACACATATGTGTTCATTGCGCCGTATATTTATTCGCGATTAATTGGCGGCGGCAGTGGTGTGACGGTTATGGTACCGGACTGTTGTACCCAAGCTCGCGGGTTCAAACTCGATCGAAGCCGTGGATCTTTAGGGCGACAAATTCCTTCGTACGCCTTCCTTTGGAGGGAAAGTAAAGCCAGCAGCCCATGTCAGTAGATTTACTTGCATGTACAGGATCCTCAAGCCTAAATGACGCTTCTGAGCTAAATTCAAATCGCCTGTTTCTCGCCCAAGAAATACCTCCTTTCTCTGCTAGTTGATGAAAGGAGCGTAGCGAAATTGATTGATGAAAGGAGATTTTGATGAAAGGAGCGTAGGTCAGACGGAAGAGCGGGCCTGATGGCCCGAGTCTCACCACGTAAAATAAGGCAAATTCAATTAATTGAAACGGACACTTTGATTCGGCAACTGTTCCTCGAATTGATGGTGGGTGATATTTCTGAGTTGCATGCAACTTACACAGTCTAAACCATTGAACTCAATATATTTTAAGAACATCTATAAATGAACAAAATCGTAGTTTGAGTAACATCCACTTTGAAATAAAAATCTCTCACTTAAAAGCCAATAGTTGACGTAAGGGGTTGGGACCTTCTTACACCGGTCCCCGAGTTCATGGATGTGAGCCAGGGCTTAGAAGAGCTAAGTATGTAGATTCAGATTGACGAGGCTATAGTGCCAGAGGGCACAAACAAACCTACAAATATATAATCTATCTGTGGCATGGGCCAATGACAGTTTTAGTGTTTTTCAGTTTGAAGGCCAATTTTTAATTTAAAGCCCGTCCTTTCAGTACAAGACAGGCCAAAGTCAAAAGTCAATTCTCTTTCGTGATTTCTCATTTATCCACATTGGCCTACGATTGTTTTGTCATTTCGATGGTGTAAGAAAAGCCACATTCTGTATTCTTGGAATATTGACATTGGTCATTCTTTTACCGAGCCAAGTGGATGTGTGTGTGTGTGTGTGTGTGTGTATGTGCATATGTTTGAGGGGGGTCAAGTCAATAGTTGACGTAAGGAGTTGCGACCTGCTTACACAGGTCCCCCAAGTTCGTGGATGCCAGCCAGGGCTTCAAAAAGCTAAGTATGTAGTTGCAGATTGACGAGACTTTAGTGCCAGAGGGCACAAACACACAAATACATAATGTATCTCTGGCGTGGTGCAAGAGGGTCAATGTCAGTTTTAGTGATTTTTAGTTTGAAATGTAAAGCCCGTCCTTTCAGTACAAGGCAGAGCAATATCAAAAGTCGATCCTCTTCATTGACTCACAATGGCTGGCATATGTTTTTTTTGTTTGTTCTTTTCATTTCAATGGTGTAAGAAAAACACTCATCGTGCAAAACATTGAATATTGTCATTGGTCATTCTTGTCCCAAGCCAGATGGATGTGTGTGTGTGTGCATGTGATTGTGTGTGTGTGTGTGTGTGTAGGTGTGGATGTCAACTTATCTATCATGTATTGCGTGACGCAGGCAGTGGCAGCGACGGCAGCAGCGGCGGCTGCCGTACGCCGCCCGACCGACGGCGACATCGCTGCTCAACTCGCGGCGCCCGATGGCGCCAGGGCCCCGCCACGCCCCGCCCCGGGCTCGACCCGCCTGCCCTTGCCGTCCGCCCCGCGGCCCGCGCCGCCCCGCCATCGCCGCCGCCCGCCGCCGCGCGCCCGCCGCCCACGCGCCGCGCAAGCACGTGCAGTTCCCGTCGCCCGTCACGCCGCCCATCACGCTCAGCCCCGCTGCGGACGACGGTGAGCGCAGCCCACCGGGTCAAGCGCGTGGCCAAAACTGGTATTAATCGCGGATTACCTTTCATTGAACGATGAGCTTGCTTCCCCATCTCTGACACAATAAACACTTGAAGGTCAAAGCTCGCAGCGAGCACTGGCGATAACATTCCAAACACATCTCACATTCACACACGAAATAGCCCATATTTTCTGTTGAAGACGAGAACTTCTGTTCATAGTTTTCTCCAAAGAATCTAAAGATATGACCGAAGCAGTTGAAGATCCATCACAGGATATACCTCAAACTCCTGAGAAAGTTAGAATGCAAATTATTGATAAAATTACAAAAGCATGACTTATTCTCTGGAGATTAGCATTGCTTCGTGAAATCTAGTGGCCGATTGTCCTACTAATACCCGCACTCAATCTCCATTTCTTCAATCCATCGTTCATGAAAAGTTGCGCGAGTAATAACAGTTGGGAAGGTTGGGTACTAGTGATTCCCTGCCCGCAAGTGAATAAGACCATTAGACCCGTAAGTGTAGTGAGTGCGTTTTTGCTGGGGGACGGTGATCTTTCCTCGCTGGAGGTTAGAACCCGCGCCGAATTACCTTTGGCTAGCAGCGTTTTCTCCAACCAAGTATCTCCCACCAGCAGGTACTGTCCCAGCCGGGACAAGCTCTATGCGCCCGACGTGTGCATTAGTGTGATGCGTGTAATTGTGTGTGTGTTAGGGGTGAGGATAGGACAAGGAATGGGACGGAATGGTCGCGCGCGGTTTGTGACCAGCTTGGTAGAGTACTTCTCTGGGATTCGCCTGGTATTGAACAGAGAATTCACGGAAAACTACCGATCAGAGGAGACGGCCCCAAGACGTCTCCTCCACACAGCGACAGAACTCTCTCTAGCTAGTGTCGAAAATCTTGCCACCATGGGAACTCGAATTCTAGAACCTTCCAGTGAGGGCACTGCAGTGACATCAGTTGATGCTCTGAGCCACCTCACCCGGTAACATGGAAGGGGAGTGAAAATGTTTTTGTTTCATTGTTACACAGATGGTGATTACATAGTGAGATAGGTTTTACTTTGCCATTAAAACTAGTATTGCTAAAACAACACGTACTTTCTCTGCATTAGTAATGGTTATGTAATACTATTTATACCACAATTGCTCTCCAAATTATTTTTTGTAAACCTCATTTGAAATCGTAGAATATTTGGTGCGAAAAATAATCAGTATGCAAGAAAGTAAAATATTTGAAATCAATAATACGATACTGATAGTGTTAGAAAACAAACAAATCTAAAAATATATAATAGTAATTACTATGGGATTGTAATATTCTACAAATATTTAAAAGTATTCGATTTATTTCCGCGAACTAAACGCAGCCATCATTATCGTGTAATCTGTGCGGTGCGGCGTTACGCCAACAACCAACAACGACCGGCCATTTATTTGTTTTCACATTTTACACAATTAAAGAATGCAATTTAAAATGAACTTACATAAAGATACAATAAATAATAATAATAATAACATGATATATGAAATAATATACAAATTCTAATTTACGTAGCATCCGACTGTGTAAATTGAGAAAGAGCGCCTTTAGGCTAGCAATCTTTATTTCATATTTATTTCAAGTAGCTTTGAAATAATTTCTCAACGATTTATTTATAAACGTATAACAAAAGCCCCAATGTAAGAAATTAACAAAGAAATATGAAATGCTATTTACATTCTAGCTACGCATCATCCAACTTCTTCAAAACTCTAAAATTACGATTAAGACACGCAGTATTTTTAAAGGGAGCAACTAACTTTGACGCCCTATTACTCCAAAAATACGCATAGTTTCGAAAAATTAAACACGATCTTCTTTGAAAATTTGTGTTTGATGAACACATTTCATCAAGAAAAATGTATCTTCATTATTGAGGTAGAAAGAAGACGCTGAATAAAGTTTGAATTTTTTAAATGTCCTTCACACTATTCACCAACGAAATTTCATCAAAAACGATGGAGCCGATTTTGATAAAAAATTATTTATACAAAAATTGCCTATATTTTACTCAACATTACGCGAAAAAGTGTACATGACCTTATGATGTACCCTTGAGAATCAGATTTCATCAAACAAATCTCTATCTTTGATATTTTAGTTGTAGGAAGGCGCTGAAAATTTCTTTCATCTTTTAAAATTTTTAACGAATTTGAGACCTGCGCCATTTTCATAAACTTTCTTAAGACTATCCAACCACATAATTTAATCTAAATCGATGGTGCTTTTTTTAAAAATTTTTAAATGACCGAAGGGCTTCATGTAAAGTATTTCCCAAAATTAAAATACCAGTTTCAAATTCAAGGGGCACCGACATCAGTCAGATCGACTAGGGAAAATCAATTTTCGAGAAACTCGGCTGCACTGTTTAGCCACTAGCGTTGTTCACTAATGTCGTTTAGTTGGGTCATGTCAGCAACATATAATTAAACTAAAAAAGATGATAGAGTGATCATCGTGATAATCCTGCTAAGGTTGGTCTTTGGATGGAATGGTGGTTGTTTACATTTACCGAGAATGTTCTATTTTTGATGAAATTTTCTATGATTCATTGGGTATAATAGGTTGTGCCTATTTTCTTAATTTTATACACGAGTCCTTGATGTGTCTTTCCGATCAAACGCCTGTGTTATCGCGATGAAAACTACTAATGTGTAGTATTTAAAAAAAGTATTATAAAGGTGTTCAGTTATGCAGAATATATGAGAGTTTGGTATAACGTAGAATACTACTCTTACGATGGAATTGCCGGGTTTAGTTTAGCTTCTTTGGATATATTTATTGTTGTGAACTAATTGAATCTGCCATAACATATGCTATTTGCGGATAGTCATGTCTCTTATTCGACAGATGAAAAGGAAGCTGGCGTCTTTTTCGTTTTTTGCGATTGTTAGTTTGGTGTCTTAATTTGCCGCACGCTGTTCTAATTGCCTCTGTTGTTCAGTAGTTGAGAAGTGCACAAGTAATGCATTGCCGGTGGTCTTTTGTGGAGGGCTATGCAAATTACTATATCTCAGTATTTGTTGATTGTTACGTAGAATAAAACGTCATATTTTGAATGTAAAATAAGTAGTAGTGCTATCCATTTTCTATTCTTAACTGTATATCTCTGAAAAAAATTTCAAGTTACAATTTGTATTCTGTGATCGTGACTTTGTTTCATTTTTATCATTATTTCCTTTTTACCTATTTTCGTCTACAATGCACTCACAAGTTATTCACGTCTGCTGAATCGTTGACGGGGAGGTCCTAAGAGGTTCTTAAATCCCGACGGCGTAGACATTTTTACTATATAGAATTTGGGTTATCCGATCGGTAGTTTTTCCGTAATATTACTAATCAAAATCCAAGCAAATGCTGGAACAGTTCTCTATAAAAAGTAATATTAGTTAACTTGTCTTTTCGTTACTCCCACTTTCCCCTCCTCTCCTTTCACACACACACACACACACACACATACAAACTCATACATACATGCACTAAATTGCCTTACGTGTCGCGAGTCGAGACGGGAGCGCAGACCTTGCCTCCGATTGGCAATTACACGTTGGGGGAGATACCCTGAAGAAAATCCTCAAGCGGGCGAGTATGTTGGCGTCAATAAGGTATCTCCAAAATAGCACTAGTTTCTAGTGAGTGTGTTACCACCATAAATTACGTTGGTAGCACGAAATGCAGATTGTAACCAAAGAAATCGTACAGTTGAATTTTAAAATCATAACAGATGGTGAAAGTGTTGTCCCTTAACTTGTTTCTCTACATCGAGTCGAATCGAGGGCACCCGTTAAATATTGCAGTTGTGTTCGTATCGAGGTATCGAAATTTCGTTCGTATGTATAACGAGATACATACGAACGAAACCTCGATACCTCGATACGTACTTAACTGCAATTTTTAACGGGTGCCCTCGATTTGGCTCGATGTAGAGAAATTTTCTTGGCGGTCTGTATCTTGAGTATGAATTACCAAATAAGTATTATTTATCTCATAGTAAATCGAGCTTACCAGCGTGTGTGTGGCTTTTTTCAGAGGCAGTGAGCACGACTGAGAGCGGGGGCGGCGGGACGTCGGCGGTGGTGATGCTGTGGGCGGCGGTGGGGGC